GGCGTGTGGCACCGCTTTCAGTTCAGTACACCCTATCCTAAGTGTGTGCCAAAGTGCCGGGAGTGTCAAAGGCTGCCTTGACGGAGCAGCGGCGGCAGCTGCTTCCGACATGCGAAGTGGCGGAGGTGGAGGGCAAAGTTGCGCTTATGATCACACTTAATGTTTCCTCGTGTTTCCTCTAATTACTTTTGTTCTTTATTTTTTTACTCTCATTTATTCTCATTCTCTCCCTCTATGTTGTGTCATTTGGTCAGGGCTTGGACACGGCAGCTGTTTGTCGACTTGTCGAGAACTGAAGTCTTTACCCAACATGCCACACCGTAGCCGCACCAGCCAACTCTTGGATCCGGGGGAAATTTGCACCAACTTGCGCATGACTCCGCCCTGGCACAGGAGCCCTGTGGCCAGCCGCTCGAAGGCACCAGAAGTACGTTTGCACTCCTTATCGGTCCTTTGCTTTAAACGTTGATTCTTGGGTTTGCTTTGCTCAATGTGTGTTTATGGTCTCATGGCGCATGTTGTTTGCGCTCACGGCGGCGTTAGCGACTGTGAGCTTGTAGTGCATCGAATCTATTTCCTTTTGTGGTTCACGAAGCCACACTCGCACGTTTCGAGTTCGAGAAGTGTACACCATGTACGCACGACACCAGAACATGCCTGAAACGGCATATATTTGGCTCAAGTGGAGAGACAAGCAGCGGTCGTGTTTGCTGCACATGGGTTATGAGCCCAAGTCCACCTCAGATCTAACACGTGGTTGGACTGCCATGGCGGATCTGCGAAGGCGACGCTCCATGCAGAGGGAGATGTCGGCAGATGAGCAGCTCGACGCGATGATCGCGGAGGCCAAGTCCAAGGCGAAGCCGCCAGGGAGGGCAAAAACTTTGACCCGTCCATGAAGTTGACACCGGCGCTGAAGAGAACGTCGGGAACACCAAGCAGCGCTGCTCCTGGGCAAAGGGCTACATCGTCGTCGGCGCCTACAGGGACGGGAACACTACTTCCTGAAGTTCCTCCTCTACCCGGGTCTTCTCTACTACCACTTCCAGGGGATCAAGCCCCGGGTCCAGCGTCTCCCGGACTGTTGCAACAAGCGGTGGCGGGCGGATGGAACTTGCTCAGAAAGCCTTGCGGTGGCATGACAACACGTGAAGATATGGCACAATTGCCTGTGGTGCCTGAAAGCGTTTGCGCACTCGGTGGGGCACCTCTTGGCTGGGGACTATATGCTGGACTACCCCAAGGGCCTGTTCCGGTACAAGTTCATGGACCAGTTCTTCAAGGTGAGCAACACATGAACCCGGGCACAATGCCTGCCTGGATCTCAACAAACCTCTCCGGTGAACCCATGGTCGGCAGAAAAGATGAAGAGCCAACAGGCAACTTCGCAGCCTGTGGCCGTGGGTGGAGACCTTGTGGAACAATTCCGCATCCAGTGTATGAAGGAAGCGGAACAACGTTTTGCTGCTGGCCTTGAGCAGTTGGTGGATGCAGGCAAACTTGCGTCAGACTCTTCGTTCAAGTCGGCGGTGGATGGTCAACCTCCTGGGGGGACTGGGCAACCTACAACCTCGGGTATGACATCGGCGTCCATGCCTACGGGCCGGAACCTATGAGCTCCGGTATGCAAGCAACCGGTGCAAAGGCAACGACAACGCCTACTGGAATGCAGTTTCCTTGGCCTTATCCTCCTGGAACATGACAGAGAGGAGGATGACAAGCCTTCTTCTTCAAGCAGTTGCTGAGTACATCCGGGCTGAGGCTGTGGCGGCGAGGAAGTTGAGCGCAGCCCACTTGCTGTTCACGCTCTTCGTGAAGTTTCAACCTGGAGGACAAGGTGAAAGGATGAGCCTCATCCGCTACCTGACTGTGTTGAAGACCACTGCCCAATAGACTGATCTATCCTATTTCCTTGCTTTAGGCTCGATCCTAGGAATGTGACTATTTTTAAAGAATATATATATTAAATAGTAACTATTATAGTCAATTTTCTTTTCAAAAAAATATATTTTTCAAGAAAAAATCCTAGAAAATAGTCTGATGAAATAAGATATATATCTTGTTTTTGGTGACTAACTATTTTCTACAGATTTGACGAGAAGTCCTAGAAAATAGTTAGATTGAAATATATATATTTTTTAGAAATATATATATTCCTTAAAAATAGTCAAAACTGAAACTTCGACCAAACTTCGACCCCCCCTGTTGTTGCAAAAACTTGACATATGCGAATGTTCTCTTCTAGAACACACATTTGATATATTGAAAAGCTAGAACATGGTGGAAACAACGTGCCTCTCATGTGGTCTCTCGAAACGCCTCTCATGGTTTGGTTCTGAAAATAGCCATACCAGGAAAAGTGTTGCAAAAGTATGAGGAATATGCGGTGACAGAAAAAGAGCAGGGGAATACACAGAACATGTGTCGACAAGGTCAGTTTGCTCTAAATATTGGTTAATTATATCAATACACGAAACCTTCTTGCTGCTTTTGTTGATGTCATCCTGTGTCTGCATCGCAGCAGCCCCTTTTCGTATATACCGTTGGCGCACCTTTGTGGATCAACTATATTCAAAAAGTTGTTACAGCCCAACACACTGCTCTTCAAAAAGGAAATGCAAAGCCAAACGGTAATGGCGGCAAAGCTTGACAGACTGTTGGGGAACTTTGTTGCCCCGAGTGCATGTTTGGGCTATGGACTGCATCTTTTGCATTTGGTCTTCTCCGGCGAACACCCACACAACTCTAGGCGAAATGCATTTTGACATAATGGCCAATTCTTGTACCATATGACACTTGCTCGTAATGTCAAAGTATTTGATGTCCTCCTGTAAGTAATGCTCTGCAATTTGGGTCAGGAGCAAGAGCATCTGAGAGCAAGCCTCTTCAAATCTTTGCGCGATGCCTGGGGGGAAACTGAACTCGTCCTTGTACTCGGTAATTGTGTCCTCTAGTTCCACGTTCAGCTGCAACATGAGCAAAATTTTTTTGTGCAAAGAAAGATGCACATTCATCTCCTTTGACCAGAGCGACAGCAAAGCCTTCCCGAAGTGTCGAATCTCAGAACCCTTGCCTCTCAATTTCGGAAACTTTCCTGCAGCACGCAGGAACATTGACAGCCTGTTCATATACGTTCATATACCTGAAAGGAGTGGGGGTTTGGTTGTCTTTGAAGGACTGCCTGAGATAGGCCCATGCAGTTTGCAGGTTCTGTTCCGCTGACTGTGGCATCACATAGTTCACCAGGACCGCCATGACGGAACCGAAAATGTACTGGTCCATACCTAAGTACTTACAGTGGAGCCAGTCATAGTGTATTGTCCAACACGATGCCCCTGGCAAAGTGAGCAGCGACAACCGATTCCTATTCTCCCACAATCGCCACTCTTGCGGCGACCACCTGGTCATCCCACCCTGCCTGAAGTCGCACCAGGTGTTCTCACCTGTACCTGTGCATTGACACCATACACAAGGACCACTCACCAGAGATGCCTTCGGGCACCCTAGCATACCATGTAGATAGTCCAAGTCGCCAATGAGGGCGAAGAGAACTCCACACCAACCATCAGCTAGCCATGTGTTGGCTCTTTTGTGTTCAGCAGTTCCCGGTTGGTACCTGTCTGAGTGTTTCAATGTTACAAAACTCGCTATATATATATATATATGGGTTTTGTGACACAGATAGAACGGACATATTCAACATGGACACATTGCGTTTTCATTTCAACATGGCATTCATACAAAAGACAAAAAGAATCAGCTGGGTTTGTGAAAGTCGAGCTGCGCTTTACCATAGGGGTCATGGCTCGGCCACTTGCCTTCAGCAAGACATAAAAATGACCAGTGGAGAATCTTGTAGAACTCATGCAAAGTTCCATGTGTCACATCCCCAACTTTAAGGCGGTCGTAAAAAGCCCAAATCCACATGAGCATAGAGCTTGTTTTCCCCTGACCGATAAGGGAATACCAGGAATAATGAGTCATCATCCGGCTCCACGCCTTTCCCACACCTACAATCGGGACACCGTCCCCGTGAACGGCGATTGGAACTGTGCGCTCATTCCAGCTTGGTTTGGCTTTCATGGGGTGATCTTGCATCTGCGGGTGGAGTCTGACTGCGTGCCAAAACTTCTTCACAGTGTCCACGGATGGGGCCACAGTTTTGCTCCAAACTGCTTTGTAGCTGTGATAGATGACAGAGAAGAGCTCGTGTGGGAGTAGCGTCATTTGGCTGCAAGTTTGTCGAAACCCTCGGAGTGGGATTTGAAACTTATAGCCTTTAGGCAGCCGAGAAACCCATTCAATTCTTTCCATCAGTTGGCCGTGCATTTTGTTGCTGTATTTCCCCTTGGTCCCAAGGCTCTGGAGAATCTTCAACTCCTCAATCACACTTGGGTTGTTGGCAGCGTTTTCGATGTCTTGGACAGCGCGAGCAGCGATCTCTTGCACCCGCTGGGGGCTGAAGAACCCCCACGCAAACAAACTAAGAAGTAAGGCTGCCAAAGTGCTGCTGCCCTCAAAGTTGTGCACGGCCCACTCGGCTTCTTTGGCCCTGGCAATCCTCTGTTTTATACCACCTCTTTTTTGTTTCTTTCTGGGTGGCTCCATGTTCAATACATACCGGCGCAAAAGGTGTAACAGTGTAAACAATGTCTTTTACATGTGGCAGTGGTAAAAAGGTCTCCTGTCAGACTCTATGTGTTTTGTCAGTGCCTGTCTTCATGCACACATTGCGTCTTAAGCGGCTCAACTGCTGAAGAGGTTCGAGTGTGAGGAGACTTTCTCTTGAAGCGCAAAGTGGCTTCAGTGGCGTTCATTTGTCATTTAAACAGTTTTGAGATCTCACTCTTTTTTTCGCCCTATAGGTCTTCAGCTTGTCATGCCTTTTGGCCTCGTAATACATTGAGTTTGCAGTGCACGGCCTAGCCACATTTGATCTATGAGAAGATCTGAGAAAGCGTTAGTGTCAGACCTGAACCATGAACCATGAGTGTCAGAACCGTGAGAGACAGAGAGGAATTTGAGTGAAACATATTCTGACATATGCATCTCGAAACTGATTGAAAATGTTTTCTTAGCAAAAGGCTCGAATACATCTCGTGTAGGGCTTCACCTTAGGAACCTCCCACTGGTTGGCCACCTTGAGAGGAATAACTTCACCTTGAGAGGAGCGAGAGGAGGGATCTCACCTTGAGAGAGCAACGTTGAGAGAAGTGTTTGAAATAAAACTTTGTTGAGAGAAAGCCAACTGTTGGTTGATGTCGTTTTGTTTGAACTCGTGCCTGTGGCAAAAACGATCTCCACTCTTTTTGTCCAAACGTTGTAAGTTCTGAAAATGATTATGCATGAATCGAAACTGTCTCTATATGTTTGCAAACTCTGAAAAGCTAGGTTCCCCACAGTGTTCCCTCTGTCACAACGCGCTTGTAAGTTCGAGGTTTTCACTTGTGTTTTCAGAAAATCCAAGCTCAGGCCAGGGCAGGGTTTGGCCAACCATAAATTGATGCTCTTTTCACTCAAGGATAACTCAGGGCTTGAGGTTTTTGGGTAGACGCTGCAAACTCACCAACTTCAGTCAATATATTTGGCAGGGAGTTTGAGCCATGAGGCACAAATCTGAGCCATGAGATGACCTGAGCGCACAACACCTTGAGAGAAACAGAGATATCCCAGGGACACATATATGGGAAACATATTCTAGCATTTGCGTGTCAGCACTGCTTGAAAGATACTTTGTTTAGCAGGGATCGGTTTTCCGGTATATACAAGTTCAAGCATCATGATCTAAAGGTTCTTTTTTCAACTCTCATACGTTGCCAGCTTTCGATCCATCAGGGATCCTTCAGCCCCTTGCCTTTCCTTGGAGATGATGTTCTTGGAAAAAGCCCGACTTGGACTTGGAAAACCGCTTCAAACAATAACTTGTAAAGGACACATGGAGAACAGCTTGAACTCAGAACCTGCAAAGATATGGAGAACAGCTTCGAACCATAGGGTGTTTAATGTTCTTTTTGGTATATGGGCTAAACCAAAATAGAATAACCCCCCATCAAACTTTCCCCAAGAGCTGGAGGCGTGGGCATGATCACTAAGCAGCCGAGCTAAGTGTAACGCTTCAGTTCTTACAGGCTTTAAGCCGACCTTTGGCAGCTTTAATTTCCCCATTGAAACGATCCACATCGACTGCAATCTTCCCCACGAAGGACTCCAAAGTTGCCTTGGATGGCACTGATTTGTTGGGCAGTTCCTGGAACATAGACCAATGGTTCAGGTCGTTGAGATGGCCTGTCAGCGTGGTAAACCCGTTCTTGATCAAGGCCTTGTCTTCAATCTGGTTGGCGATTTTCTTTCCCTCCTTCAAGAGTCTTTCCACGGCATCTTTCGCTTTAGATGCCAATGCTTCAAAACCTTTGGGAATCTCGCCGTCCTTGTCCAAACTCTTTTGTTCTGCCTCATGAATTGAACACCAATTCTGTATATTGTCTTTAAACAGCAATGGGCTGAAGGATATGTGGCTAAAGCCTCAAAAAAGTTTAGTATTATTTTTATAACGGTTTATATTGATGGGTTTCCGTAGACAAGGTTTCAGTTCACAAGACTCACAAGAAAACTCTCCACTCCTCTTCTCAAGGACTAGGCACTCCCCACACTTGCAGAGCTCATGAAAACAAAGTGTTCTGAACTGAGCGCCGTTATCCTGTTCTTACAAACATGTTTTCTGTGCCTTGGTCATTTTGAAGTCCCACTTCATCTTCGTCATGAGGGCACCCAAGGTGTAAGCTTGATCCTTCCCAAGCTTCTTGTAGCCATGCACATGCTCGCCCTGCTCGGACGCATGCAAATCCACAGCCTGAAGCTTACGGAAGCTGTAGTACTCAATGCCGGACGCCTCATCCTTGAAAGAGGTAAGCTCCTTGTCCTCCAAAGCTCTGTTGAAGAGGCGCTCATCTCCACTGAAGTGCGTACCGATCATGAGGTTCTTCGGCAATGCTTCGTCCTTGGTCTTCGCGATGTGGGCATGGTGCACCTTGCGGTATTGTGCGAATTGGTGGGAGTCCGTGTCGATGCGATACGAGCCGTCCTTCTGCTTTGCGAATAGCGAGTTGATGAGCTCAGTCTTGAAGGCTCGCTCCGAAGGTGCCTTTTTCGATTCGATGCTCCACATGCGCACCACCTCTGGGGGGAGGGTGCCTGCCTTCAACATCTTCGCGAACTTTTCACCTTTCCCCTTGTCTCGGGCTTCGCTCATGGCCGCAGACTGCTCTTTGATCTCTCTGACCGTCTGGTTGATGGAGCTTGCAGGCCTCTTTCTGGGACCTTCTTCTGCGCTAGCTGGGCGTTTCACGGGAGGCATGATGATAAGCGATCACGCGTACTATCTAAGCAAGATTCTTCGCACAAAAATGATCGACTTGAGCGCTGATTGGAAGAAATCCACAGAGGTCAACAGGTCAAATGTTGAAGAATGAAGTGTCCGCTCATAGGTTCATCAAGCATTTTTTGAAGAATTCCAACACGAACTCTTTGAATTCCTGAAGGTTTGTAGTATGGTTTCATTAGTTTTTCTTTTACTACAATGATGACAGGTCGAAGTTTGGTCGAAACTTCGTCGAAGTTTCGACTCGAAGTTTAGTCGAAGTTTGGTCGAAGTTTAGTCGAAGTTTAAGATACAACCTTCAAAACATATGGTATTTACAGTGTTTTGTTAACATTGTACAAAAGTAAACTTCGATAGCAGTTGAAACTTCGACCAAACTTCGAGTCGAAACTTCGACGAAGTTTCGACCAAACTTCGACCCCTGACTCTTTGGCCTTCCTTCTGTCTCTCAAAAATCTCTCATGGTGTTTGGTGAAAAATGTTCTCAAAGTCTCAAACCAGATTCAGAACACAGTTCAGGAACTCGCTCATTGTCATGGTTTTCAAATGATCACAGCTCAATTGTTTGTTGAGTTCTTTTGCAAAGCCTGCACTCAGTCAATCAAACTCAGTGAATCTCACTGCCAAAGCCTAAGAGAAACACATTCAAAAACCGCAAGCCTCACATCACATGTAGTGCTCAACGATGTTTCTTGCCTTCGCCCTTATTGCCCTTCTTCTTCTTCTTGGACTTGCGTTTCTGAGCCTTGGGTTTATCATCTTTGCCGGCTTCTTCCAAGACTGCGTTGTCCGTTGGGTGGGGCATTCTGCGCAAAGGCGGCGGCTGTGAGGATGAAGAAGCAGGTTCATCAGGCTCTGCTGCATAGTGTGCCCCGCTCGAACTCGAACTCGAACTCGAACTCGAACTGAAACAGTTATACAGTACCCTTAGGGTCCCGAACCCTTCCTGAGGACATGCTTTCATTCTGAGACCATCCTGAGGGACTTTTTTTCGAAAGGTCTCACTCAGCAAACCATAGGTAATACCCTCCTGAACCAGCACACTCCATCAAGCCCTTTTTTCTTCACTAATCAGATGAAAGATCATCGAACTCATCCAAGGAGTGGTGCTTCTCCAGCCTTATACAGGCAATCAATCCAGATCAGATCCACAGGTTGACAAACTTCTGATTTAACCACATCAAGTAACCCAAGGTAGAACTTCTTCAGGATGGTCTCTTCCAAGCTGGAGCACTTGTGGGTTGCATTCCCAAGATCTGGCAGGCAGCACAATAAATTTAGATTAAAGCAGTAAAATCTATCAACCAATCACCAGAAAAGGCCTGCCAGCCGCCCAACATAGTCTTCCATGCGGAAAGAATGGTAGAATCTGCAATTCAGTCCTCAGCACAATAGAACTTGTATTTTGCAAACCGGTCAGAAGGGCATTGAATTTTGTTTCCAAGGGTCTCAATCGCACTTCACTGTAGCCAAGTTCTGAGTAACCCTCAGTAGCACATATGTCAAAATAAACTGCAGAACATCGGCTCATATGTCACTGTTGTCCAACTGACCTCTCCAAGTGGGGACCACTAGCATATAACAAATGAAGCTTGAGCAAGGCAGGTCACGTGATGCTTCGGGCGGATGGGCCACATCAGCTGATTGTTCTCAACTGCATCTGTGGCCAGCAAGAAGTAATAGTGCATCACTTTGTCCTTATAAGTGGACACCACTACAACTTAACATTATACAAATTGAGGACACCAGTTAGCATAATTCATGCATACATCACAACTTGAGTACATTCCATTTTGCACATCATAAACCCTCAAGGCATGCAAGGAACACAGCACTGTTCAATGAGCTTTGCATCTTCAGCGGTCAAGTACCTTCCCCGCTCCTCATGGATGTCATGCCAATGAGACTGCCACCACCTCAGGGGCCAGGGCATTAAATTAAGGGATGCACAATGCAAAATATAACCACAAGGTTTGATGAGATGATGCTGCATTTCAAGCCACACACATGCACAGATCCACTTCAGAGTCTGTGGTGATTCGGGAGTGACCAATGCAGCCAACTTCTTTGCCAGGTAGCTCACAACACATCTAGCCTCACTGGCACCCTTCCCCCTTGTGGTGTGTACATGTGTTCAAAACAACCAAAGGACCAAAGCTGGCAAGTAGCATTAAAGGCCTTGGACTGTAATTCAGGATATGGATGTTGGTTCGATCTGAGCCTTTTGCATTTGAAGACCGGCATACTTTGCCTAGGAGACCATTGGGAATATTGAGCTCCCAGGGAAGCAATTAAAAAAAAACATCATGCAGTGATATATGAGAGTCAAGTTACGAAATCTTGTTTTCTTTCACCCATAATTTGTATTCCCTGAATGAAGCCAAAAGCCGCTCTTCAGGATCACCACTCCCCCATACCGATGTGTTGTCTAGCAAATACTGAAACGTATTGCCAGCAATCCAAAGGTCGAGCCCAAGGTGGACACAATGCATGGCACACCATCTCACAAAGTCTGGATGGAAATGCGGAAGTCCAACAAAGGGACCTGGGAGCATACATCATGACCAAAACCAGTTCATAGTTGATGTGTTTAAAGCAGAACATTTTCTGGTCTAAGTCAGCCACATTTGGGGCCAGCTTTGCACACTTCATCCACAAATGTTTGGGGTGTGTGTCGGGGGAGATGGCGTAGTTTGGAGACTGGGATCAGGTAGTCAGCTTGACCAGCATAGCATTGATGGCAGACATGTCGGCACCGGTAGTGATAGTAGTTCTGAATATTACACCATTCCTTATCAGTACTGGACCTAGACAAACAACTCCATTGCCCATGCACATACCTGATTTTTGGCTCAGTATCTTTCTGCCATTTCCAGTCCCCCCTGAGTTCACATATGGCCGCATGCAGCATGGTCCGATCATCCATCTCAATCCCCTCATACAACTTCAACATCGATTGCACAACCTAGGCGTGGGCAGAATGGTCAATGCCACTAGAAAGGTGGGACACATGTGACATACCAGTACTTGGAACCAAGTCACACTTTGCATGACAGGGAATAGAGTTCCAAACCCACTCGACAATTCCTCAGAAGCATTTGTCATTTGTATACCCCAAATCCCTACAATGATTTGCATGCACTAGCAAGACATCCCAAGTTGATGAGGCAAGGATCTTCCCTCAGGACAAAGATTGGATAGCGTGATTCCATCGAGTAGGTGCGGTTGTCCAAGCAATGCCCCATGCATATACAAATAAGCTTCTCACCCAGTTCATTAAACTGACAGTCATCACCCCAGATCCACCAGGGATGATGCTGGCAGTTTGGTGAAATTGCTGCATGGGGTAGGTCAAGGGTTGACGCATGCTTCCACCACTGCTCTAAATCTTTCTTTTCAACAGGTGGAAACAACCCATGGTTTTGAAGCCACGGCAAGAGCTCATGCGGAAGGCAAACAGGTAGCTTGACTGAGTGGATGCCCTTCTCAGTAAGCTTGCGTACAGGGACATCCACGAAAGTAATGGGCGCCTAGGTTGATGTTCCCCAATGAAGTGATTTGGTCCTCTGATGGTTCCCTCAACCATTTTACAGCAGCCAAAAAGAGCAACAGTAATTTAGTTGTTCTTCCAGATCCTGAATGCAACCAGGAAACTTGGCCTGGGTCATCCCTTCCAAGTTTGCGAAATACATCTCTTTGGATGTTGGATGTCCAACGTCCACTAGATCCTGACTTTTTGAGTGCCTGAAGTGGACCTGTCAGCTTAGCACCATGGAATTTGAACTCCTGGAAAAGAAGTGAAAGGCACTCCCCAACACAACTAGGTCCAAGAAAGTATGCAAGATGGTCAGAACTGATCAGTCCTTGGCAACGTAGTGAGAAATTTCCCTGGCCCGTTTGAAACTGTTGTCCTTGGTTTTACTTGAAAACAGGAAGAAACCTAATAGTATTCATTAAGCAATGCATATTTCCCAAAAATGCACAAGCGTACCAAGACTCTCCAAACCCTGTTGTCTTCAACAGGTAGTTGTAGAGAGGTGAACTACGACTGTGATGAGAAACCAATCCTGCGCAGGGGAGAATACTGATACACAACTAAAAGTACTATGAAGTTGTTTGTGCCAAGGGCTGCCTTGATTGAACACCCTTTGTTCGCAACCATCGCAGAGTTTGGGAATCATTTAGATCCCATGCCATGTTAAGATACGATCTCACAGCATTGCCGTGCAGATGTTGCATTTCCACTCATCTAAGGAAACGGCTCACCTGCTTCCAAAACTCTATGAGCAAAGGCCTTCATACAAATTCATATATAAAACCTGGTGATCCAACAAACCCAATGAAGTAGGAATAACACCTGTCATGTTATTTTTGAGCTTTCGTATTCAAAGGCCAAAGCACCTATAGATACCCAAGCAATGCCCTTACAACCCCATCACTGCACGGTTTCAGCTCACAGGTGCAATGGACTTCTTGCCCTTGCTCTTCGCCTTCGGCTTTGGAGGCTCCTGGGCACGGTGGGCAACTCAAACAGTATTCACAACATGTTTAACGAAAAAACATATGGCACACGCACCACAAATGCCCCACAACAGATCTAGTATTGATTGAAGCAAGGGTCCACTGCCAGTCTAACAGACTTGATGGTGCCAGCCAAGCTAGTGACATATGCTTCTACCTTTGAAAAGGCTTGGTCATACAAAGCCTTGAGTTCATTTGAGTTCTCAATCACACTTTCTTCTTCCACTCGCATGTACAGCCCTTCAAACTCCAACTTCATGATTTCCATCTCAGTGCGCCGAGCTTGAAGCTCTGATGCATATCCCTTCTTCATGTCCTCCGACCTTAAAGCAGCACATGTTACTTGCATTCCTATGTTGGGTTGTCAAAAACTCAGGGTACAACCCCAACACTGCATATTATGAGTTCCCAACAGTTTCATTACACAAGTTTTCTTGTACAGATTCAAGATGCAAAGCACTTTCTTGTAGCTTTGATGACCAACATTTGATGTCCGTCAGCTTCGAAGAACATACTTGAATCTTTTGCTGCGCAATCTTCTTGGGCCCAGCTTTCTTTTTTGTTGTCTTCGGTGGGGGAGGTGGGGGTGGTGGTCTTGAATCATCTTGACCCCCTGCCAAGCCGGAACCTGGCAAGCCTGGCAGGTTCACACCTGCTGGCAACTGCTTCAAGGCTTGTGTCAGCACAGGCCTGGGCACCGGCTTTGGGAGAAAGGGTGACCATGCAAGCACTTCTATGAAAGCTCTTGCCACAACTAGGCACCATACCCCATTTGTGTTGTTTGGGCAGCATCAAAGGATCCATCCAAATTGAAACCTGTCTCTGTCCGATCCGACTCCAGGTCTTCAAATTCAAGGGAATCAAAGACACGGAAGAGCTCCAAATCCTTAGAGCCACACTTGCATGTACTGCACCTTTAACTGTCAGCATTGAAAAGATGCATGTGCAATACTGCATGTTTGAATTTGGGTATGTGCAGTTAGGGCTCTTCTTCATGTGGGCAGTCAGGATGGGACATGACCCAAACGGGGTCACCAGGCTTGCGCTTGGCCTGGAGTTCCCTCTTGTCATCCCTGATGGTCTTCGCAATCGTTGCGCCAAACTTCTCACGTAACTGTTGATATGTACGCATAACATAGCGACCAACCCGCCGTTGCTCCTTGGTTTTCATGGAGTTCAAGTAGATAGAACTTTTGCACCAGTTCTTGCCAGAGCCAATCCAGTCATCAAAGAGCTGGGCAATGAGCTGATGATCTCAGCACCATGTCACCCATAGAATGCAACCATATTTGACAAGCACTGTCGCAATAAATATAACATATATTAAGTGCATACTAGTACTCTATTCCAACAATGCTAGCAAGGGACTGTACCGCCTGTTGCGAGCCTTCTCCAAAACACATTCAGGACAGCTAGGACCTGATGTCACAGAATCTCTTTGGTGGGCAAAGTCAGTAACTATCCTGTTACAAGAAAGCTTCTAAGACAGGGGCTGTCCAAAGAACGGTTGAATTTCATCTTGATATTGTGCTTGAGACGCTGTTCTCTCTCCTTGAGAGTTTCAAAGCGTCCATTCGGGCCGTTGAACATCACAGTGCCATCTTCCATGACCACAGCATCATCAGCATGTTCTGCCATGTCTGCATCAAGCTGCACAGTGTCTTTTCTCTCCATGGCACGGGCCACTGTAGCCACTGCTGCAGTGGACAGACTGGCCTCCAGTAGTGGAGGTGGTGGCTGGAACTGCTGTGACAAGTCTTGGGTTGGACTGCATGGCAGTTTCACTTGGACTGCTGGTGTGGCACTTGCAAGTTCAGGTGCTTGTGGAGCAGGCTTCTCCGGTTCAACTAGCTGCACTCTTTTCTGGTTTGTCATCTGCAGTTGAACTGGCTGCACTGTGTTCTGGTTTGTTGTCTCCGGTTGAACTGGCGGCACTGTGTTCTGGTTTGGTTCTTCAGGCTCAACTGGCTGCACTGTGTTCTGGTTTGTCGTGTCCAGTTGAACTGGCTGCACTGTGTTTTGGTTTGGTTCTTCAGGTTCAACTGGCTGCACTGTGTTCTGGTTTGTCATCTCCAGTTGAACTGGCGGCACTGTGTTCTGGTTTGGTGCTTCGGGTTCAACTGGCTGCATTGTTTTCTGGTGTGGCTCTCCAGGTTCGACTGGCTGCACCATGGGCTGGCCTGGCTCAGGAGACTGGAGCCTTGCAAGACCATCATCCAGGTGATCTCCTGGCATAGGTTGGTCAACACCCTCAACAGGCTGGAGCGAAGCCTCTAGGTCAGCAAATTGCAGAGCAGCATCAAGCTCCTCCATCAGCTCATCAGCAGGCAATGGTCGCAAGACCTTTCCACGAAGACGCTTTGCCTCATCAACGATCTCTCTAATTGACCGTTCAATCTCAATTCGTAAGGCATCACTTTTGTCCAGGAACTTCATGACCAGAGCCCCAGCCTCATCCATCTTTTTCCTCTGCCACAGCTCGATGTTTTGGACCCTGATCTTGTATAGATCCACTTCATCAGGCTTATCGTGGCCCATGTTGAACATGATGTCCCGCTGCTTCTTGACCATGGACTTTGCAGTTTTTCCACATTCACGAAAACTTCTTCTTTCTTTTTTGTTGCCTCTGCCAGCTACATCTTGGTGGCAGAAAGCTCTCGCAGCATGTTCCAAACATCCCTGGCTCGTGGGCCAAGCTTTGGGTCAACCTCCTCAAATGAAGGCTCTTGCTGGCCTCTTTTCTCAATCCAAACCATCACCTCATCCTCCAAAGCCGTTGACTCCACAAAGTTCGATTCAAACAAGTGGTCCACCAGTGGTCGGAGACATAGGTTGGCAGTCTCAAGGGCTTCCAACTCAGCAGACAGGGAGTCTGTTGTGAACCCCAAGCGTAGAGTGGTTTGCGAATCAATGTTGGTGGGCGTTCCTCAGGATGCAAACTGTTAACCTTGTAAATGCATATGGTATATGCACACATCACATTTGCACACTTGCAGGCTAGCAGCTCAGTGTAGCAAAAATAGGCTTCACATCTGCATCTTGATCACTTGGAGCCTGAGCTCCAGTGTACACCCATTTAGGCATGACCAGTGTGGCAAGCACAGCTGAATACAATTGGTTAATACTTGTCACACAAAACCAGAATCAGGTTGCTACCAAAAAGCTTTCTTTTGTTCATCACCAGCCTCCACATCAACCACCATTGGTTCAGCCGGTTCAGCTAGGTCCTCAGGTCGTGTTTGTCTCTCCTGACAGGCTTGGGCGCCACCACCTGGACTTGGAGACTTGCTCCCATCAGCACCCAGGCCAGGCTCAGCAAACAGAGACTTCTTGGTTGTGCTGCTTGCGCTCATATCACTTGTTCCCTTGGCTTTCTTCAGTTCTGGGCTCTTAACAGGGGTTGACTTCGCAGATGGTCCTTGCTCATGAATGATAGGCTTCACCATCACTCTCTTGTGTTGCTTGCTAGGAGTAGCAGACTTCCCAGACCCCTTGGCTTTTGGTACCGGTTGCACCTGTAGGGCAGCTAGCTCCTGAAGCCCCTTCTCCGCACCTGGCCAAATACTGATGAACACCAACCCATTTAATGTAGCAAAGGTGAGTTTGTACCCATCATACATGACATAATACATGAGAGATTCACTCTTTTTGGCCAAAAGGTCCATCACCTCTGACATCTCGCGAGACGCATCGAAAGGATCTTCAAACTCATCAGCAGAAGATTGGGCACGAGCCTCATGGGTCACTAAGAGGAGAGTCAAAACAGACTAAATTCAATGGTGGATGCAAACAAGAAACTCCAGGTGCTTTCGGGGCAGCTTTGGCAGCTGTCTTTTTTGGAGCCATACACCTGGATGTACAGGAAGAACCAGGTGGTTTGAAAATGTAGACGATGCAAATGTCTATTGGGCTGCATGATATCAGGGATCTGACAAGGGAAAATAATCTAACGGAATCTAACGCGAATCTAACGGTAATCTAACGCCCAAAAGTCTCCCAGCACGGGTTTGGAGGGAAATCTAACGGTAATCTAACGGTAATCTAGCGCCTACCACTCCTTACAAACCATTAGAAAATTATAGGAATCATGGAGCAGCAAGGTCGGGAATATCCAGTTCAAGGGCAATAGATGCCACCCAAACCTCTATTTAATATGTTTTTATTCTATGGCTTCAATCACTGTTGTGATGCAATTGTTCCTGATGCAAATAATGCGCTACTTGGACAATTGCATCATTTGCATTTTATCAATTGCTTTTTGAATCAACAGGTTGGGGAACCCACCAGCTCCTAAAACACATCTCCACAGTCCCACCTGCCCCACCTCCACTGCCAAACAGCACTGAGAGCCCAGTACCCAGACAGGCCAGTGCCCAAATGGCTCACACATTTGTGGAAACTCAACATGCAAAGGACCGAACTGAAAGGAAAAGAGCGCAGTGTCTGGATTGGCTTGAGTTTTTCTTGTTCGTGTGCGGTCCTTCCACAGCAAGTGAAGTGGGGACACGAATTGTTGCACTCACGCATTTTGCCAGCACACAACACAAGTTGGAAATACACAATGGGGGGGGTCAAGCTAATATTAGGTATCCCATATAGGAAGATAAGTCACCAGTCATGTTTGTCAAGTCTTGTGCTGGGAAAGACCATGCATATGCAGGTATTCAAACAGTCAACAGCTACCACTAATTGTCGTCCATTGCCCTTGCACGGACCAACTGAAACACTTCCAATGAACATGGTCGAATTTCATATGGAATCAAAACATCTAGTTCAATCTGCTGGCATTGAGCACTCTCAGTGACAACTTGCAGAATAGGTTCTAGAGCAGCATGATCCCAATTTGCCCCAGTCTCCTGTGACACAAGACTGCCCCAAATGTCCACTCTCAAACACTCCCAAAGGCTTACACTCGCACCTGAACCCCTTGCTCCACGACGCGGCGAAGATCAGGCATTTGGCATCGGGAATCCTGGGCCGGGCCAGACTGGGTTTGGCAAGTGGAACATGTCTCTCTTAGTTTGTGGAACCATATTCATGAAGAGAGTCCATAGAAGCCAAGTGAAGTTGCGCAATCTTGTTCCCAAATGGTGCCGGATAGTTTGCTGAAGATTTCATGTCTTTCCCAGCTGTCCTCATTCCCCAGCCAAATCTAGACCACAGCTAGATCTGAATCATTTATCATTTACCTTGATCGTCAGTCATAGGCTAAGGGTTGGACACATTACGTTTCCCATTCTTCAGGAAAGCGTGTTGTTTCACCATTTCCTTCTTGAGCATCAGCCCCCTGGCTCTGATTCCTTCAGCTATCTCCTTATCAACCTTGCGCTGGTTGAAGGAATCCAACCACTCCCTCATCTGGCTTTCAGGAAGGCACCCAGGAAGGCACCCCACACAAACACATTTCAGTGAACATGTACCATTCGGGTTGGGGTCTATGGTGCCAAGATTTCCTGGCCCCCCTCTATCTGAGTTTGTGACGCACTGCCAATTCCAAGCTCAGGTTTGATTGAAAACGCACCAAAGAAGCCCATAAACCTGAGTTCAAGAGTGGCTGATATCAGAAATGCTTTTGGCAAATGTGTTTTTTTCCAAAGACATTTTGTGTTGAACATATACTGCTAAGATTGGGCCCCCACCAAGTGACAACTTCCGCATTGAGCGCTGGATGGGCCAGGAGGAACCGAAGGTATGGCAGGTATATGCAAGCACTTCGCTTGGGATTTTCAAGGAACCATGAGAGCCCTCTAACCACTGACAGGGCAATTAGCAAGCAACTGCGGGCTGCCACCATGTTCCCTTCAACAACAAATTTGTAGGCCTCACAACCATATGGCCTGGCTGCAGACCTTTGGTGTCGGGAAGAGGTCATGAAGGTGAAGCTGTTGCAAGGTAAACCCACATAGAACAAAGCTCGGCACTTGCACCGCAAGACATTCCGTATTGCTGTTGCAAAGCCAATGGTTGTTGCAAGGTCCTGACCAACACCATCGGCCAGTATATCAAATCCAGACCTAGGATCTTTCGTGATCACCAACCCACTCTTGAGTGCACAAGCATGGCAGTCAACCTACCAACCCACACAGTTGCTGTGTAAGTGACGCAGGATATCCTTGAGCTCCTTACAAGTCAGAGTGCCAAGATTGAGGGGTTGAGGGGTCTTTGTCGTGGGAGTGGTTAGTGACAATCATGTTCATTAAGGTCCAAGCTGAAGGCTCCCATCACAGAGCCAACACCACTGAATACTTCAAAGCAAAAAAGCTCCTGCACAGTTCTGAGTGGCAATCTACATGTGTTTGTGTTATTGCAATATCTTCAACAAAGGCATCCCTTGTAACATCAGTCCTGTGAGGCATCATATGGGGTAAGCTGTCCGACAATGTCCACAAAGTGTAAACTGAGCCCAGCAATAGATAGTTTGAGGGTTGAAAGACACATCAACACAATGTAGCACATGCACACGCTTAGTAATTGGATGGAGGACAAGACGCAAAATTGCTGGCACCCCAAGGGCCAATAGTGCTGCAGCTTGCAGCTTGCTAAGCCGGAGGGATCGGGTGTTCATCCTTGCCTAGCTGCTGTGTGAAACACCTCACTTGGACCAAGTGCCTGCCATGCATGGTTGATTTGTTTAAAGGTTCGATGCATTCACCTGCCACAACATTACACAACCCTCACTCAAGCACACACACAAAAGTGTGTGCACAAACCCACACGCACACACAGCACAGGGAGTGCAGCTGGGGCTGACCTGCCCCAGAGCCCCCTGCAGAAGATTGACCTGCCAAAGATTTCACATGGCAATAACACACTTGATTCAAACTCTTGCTTAAATTCCTTTGCAACATGTAAGAAGCTTGGATCACCTTTCCCAAAGCCGGACTCCTCTACAAGGATTATAGAGCGCTTAACCCTTTGGTAATAATGGGTTGGGGAGAAAGCAGGAAACACCAAACTGTTAGAGAGAGAGAGAGAGGGAGAGAGCTACCTATTGGAAGTCCACATCACACTCAAGCCGCAGTCTCTAAAGTGTTTCCTAAGCCTGCATTTTTGGATAATTTATTCTCAGAGTACATCTCTCCCCATTCCCAAGGCCAGCCTCCAGCACTCCGCTTTCCTGAAGCAGACAAAGTAGAATCGCCTGCCAAGTGTCAGGTGGAAGTTGACCAAAAGAACAGCACACAGATCTCCAATGTTCAGAACTCAGCGGCAAGACCTTGGATCTAATATATTATATCTAGCCTTTATATCTAGCTAGATATAGCTCTCAGTCTGTATATACACAGAGTTCTTTACATCCAGCAAGGGTTGGTAAGCAAGAGGTGCCTTTTGCTGCAAGACACCTTCACCGTTGCAGTTCCATTCCATTTGCTTGTCTTCAGCAAGCAGACCAGCTAATGCAAGTGTTGATCAACACTCACTCAGACATTAATGGCCAAAGCAGCCATTCAGAACTGGACAAAAGTTCAATAGATGCACATGCATCTCGCCCAAACCCCATTCCCAGCTCTTCACCAGGAGAAGATCCGTGGTTCGCAAAGGCATCAGGCCTGGCAGGGAATCCAGTTCAC